AACCCAGGCTTCCAAGATTTGCACGTTTTGGGTTATGAGATGCTCAAGCTTGTGTGTGGTAAACGAGCTTTAGAAATTCCTCCATGTAGCTGTGCTTTGGACCTTAGAAAGCTTCAGAAGAAAACGTCTAATTGTGCCAGGATTTATTTTATAAACTGGGACTGCTTCAGCAGTCTGTGTGGCCTTCCATTCAGCTGTTTGCTTAAGCCAAGCCAAAAGCCACTTATCTAGAGATGATTTATTCTCACTCCTGAGCTGACAGAACCAGGCTGGAAAGGGCAAAAGCTGAATTGTAGGGGTTAGTCTGAGCCTTTGTCTACAGTCAAACTGTAATGGAAGCATGAAGGACTGGCCATAACATTGTTCTGGAAGGTTCTTGTGGTTCTCTTGTACACTGCATGTCGGACACCTTTTTAAAATAAACAGCCACGATATGTGATTGACTTAAATCTGAACTTTGCAGCTGTTCCTTGCTATCTGCCTGGTATGCCAAAGCAAAACCCTGCAGCTCAACATCTCTAAAATCATAACTTTGATTCAAATACTGTGATTTGGATCAGGATCTGACTTTCTGGTTTTGGCAGTGTAAGCAAAATAGAGGCAAGAGTTTCTTTATCTAGTTCAGGAAAATAGATGTTATTTATTTACTTTGTATATAGCAACGTTGTGTTGTAAAACGCAACAGCTGAAGAGTCCTAGCTAGAGATGTGAAAGTACAGCTAGAGGGAATGTGTCTGACTGTCTAAATTGCATCTAAAGAGGAATAAAGTTTTAGTGTTCTTTTAAGATGATTTGTTTTGTTAGACTTTAACAACAACAAAAAATAGATGTTTAGCATTTGAGAACTCAGTTGTATTCTCCCTGGATGCTGTGAGGATCTGATGTTCTCACTGATATCTTTCCACTGTGTTAGACTTGACTTAATGCAGAGCCTGACCATGAGAATAGCTCCAGCAGCCAAGTAAATGAGGCTGAAGGTGTATTTTTGACCTGTCCAAGACCTGTGCTGTCCAGACGAGGGACAGTGGGTTATATGGTGGGGCAGGATGGTGCTGCAAAGACTCTTGTGCTGGGGAGCTGCCATGGGGTGCAGGCCTGTTTCCCTCCTGGAGCACCCACTTCCCAGTGTGGATGGCTTCCTTCCACACCCGTGCAATTGAATGCAGCAGTGAAAATAGGGGGAAGTCCAAATGTCTAAACGGTGAGCCTACTTTTTTCAGTTTGCTTCTTCAGCAAGAATTGTTTTGAGTGAGTCAAAGGGTTAAAGAACCATTGTATATTTTGAATTTGGGCTGTCAAAGCAAATATTTTGACAGTCAAGTCAGAAGTGGATATTGAGTGGCGTGCTGTGAAGAAGTTCTGTCATGGAAAAAACTTGTGGAGGGATGGGAAACTGAGAGGGAGAATAAACAGATAGTTTTCAGCCTTGTGAGGGCCTAGCTGGAGTTTCTCTTGAGCAAAAATGGAAAAAAAAAAAAGGCTGAGCAGAGTCCTGGAGGGAAGCGTTGTGAGGCACAGTTACTTTGCACAGTGTGAAGCTGAAAAGGCTTTGATGTACAGTACAAGCATACTATTGGAGACACATGAGAATTGGTTAGGTTCATTGGGAAAGTCAGGGTGAGGGAGACTGTTGGAAGGAAAAGGTTAACTATGCAAATGTGACTGAACTGTAACTTCTCTAGTACTTTATCTGCAATCTTTCCTTGCTAAGTCTCAGAAGAAGAGTTGTCCCTGCTCTTCCTCTGGTCTCACCAGCCTACTTTATATGTTTGTGTCCTACAACAAAAAGGAGCTGTCGGTCAGCGGTTGTCTCATTTCAGGGCATCATTAGTGCAAGAATAAACTTAGGCATATGTTCTCCTATGAATAAGGATATGTCGCTCTGGAGATATGTTTTGTACCAGAATAAAGTGCTAATTACCTGGGAAAAGCTGAATTGTGAAGGTTTCATTGGAAAGTAAAGTTGAACTGTAGTTTTTGACGACATCTACTAGCTCTTAGATGCTGTGAAGTTCCCTGTGTGGCTCAACAGGGAAGTACATGCTGCAGCAAATTCCTGAGATTCAACATGATCTCTATATCAGCTTTAGACAGACTATTTTGTTCATGCAGTGACTTTTCTGGAGATACTCTGTTGTAAAAAGTTGCTGCAGTTTATTCTTTGCACTTAAATTTCAATTGAAAAAGAAACACATGGTTTGGTCTTTTCTTCTAGTAGAGTATCCCATGTTTGTTATCAGTGCCATCTCTTTATAGCTGCCAGTGTTCATTTGAAATTTCCACCTACCTACATAAATATGAACTTTGTTCTCATCTGTGCAAT